ACAAGATTGCTAATAAGAAAATGTTTTATAAAAATAACAATAAAAAAAGACAATGTAAGAATTTGAGACAAAAGAACTAAAATATACATATACGAGGGAGGTTCATTAGCAGATTAAAAAAACATTTTTTAGCTGCTGAGTACATAGAAAGATATGGGTCTTAATGAAACAGGTAATTCAGACCAAATCCTATAACCTCTAAGACATATTCTGATGGTAAGATGTGCAGGAAATGGGTAATCATAAAGTGGGATTATCAGTGAATGATGAATGGTTATTGGAAGTTAAAAATTATAGTTGTAAAACTGTTTTTTTATGCTCTTCAGTGTGTATTAATCAAAAACATTTGTGTGTAGATGTCTAGCAGAAGCTGGTGGTATTGGTTATAATTAGCTGCAAAGTGAAAGAGGTCAGTTGCTGAAGTGCAGCTATTGAGAGGCAGGTGTTTTACCCACATGTGTTGTAATTATAATACTGCAATTTATTGCAGGCCACAGAGGACAGATTAGCCTGCTAGTGTTGAGCTCAGCTCTGCTGCAAGGTTGACGTCACAGTGTGCTGCATTAGCCAGAGTGACTGCTGCTGTGCCACCTCTCTCATCCCTTGCCTTCTCCTCTTGGTCCTCTCAGGCTACCATGATTCCCTGTCTGCTATATAACATTTTAATTTCCCTCATCAATTTTTATTTTACTTTTTTTTCAGTTTTTTCTCATTGTGTTCCATCTCCATGTCTCCTGATCTCATGCTTCTCTCTACCCCCTCTTCCTGTCGCTGCTGCTCGACTTTAGCACAGTAGATTTGGCTCCTCAGTCTCCTCTATCTGCTTTCTGCTCCTTTGTCGTTTCATAGATAAAACATCAAAGAACATCCTGCTTAGGATAGAAAGGGATTTTAGGAACATTTGCTCACTCCTTTTTTCCTTAAATCCCTTTTCTTTTTCCTCAGTCATTTAAATTTTGCTTTGTGCGACTCTGCTGTGACACTTCACAGGCAATTCAGCTTAGTATGCTATAAAAGAACTGCAGTTGTTAATGTTTAAAATCAATCGGCATTGTAAATAAGGACAGCAATTATGAGAATAAATCAAAATGTAATTACATTACTTTCTGACAACCAAATATTAAAAGTTCACTGTTAACATATCTTTTATATATGTATATATCTCACAGAGAAATTTGGGCATAATTCAGATAATTCCTGTTAACTAGTGTAAAAGATCCTGATATAATTTTTATTGTTACATGGGTTTTTTGGTTCAAAATTGACTCAGTGTTAGAATAAAATCTGCTATATTCTCCTATTTAGCTTGATTTTGATCTGTCAGTATCACATTAACAGGCAAATTTTAATGACCCTATTTTTAGATTTGAAAAATACTTGTATCCATCAATCCATTTTCCAACACACTTTATCCCAGCTGGGGTCGCAAGGGCTGGTGGTGTCTATCTCCAGCAGATGCGGAGGATAAGTTCATCTGAGTCACAAGCCTTAGAAATCGCAGGTTAAAAGCAGCTCAGATTAGAGACCAGGTCAATGCCACACAGAGTTCTAGCAGCTGACACATCTCTTGAGAGGAGACTGTGTGAATCAGGTCTTCATGGTAAAATAGCTGCTAGGAAACCGCTGCTAAGGACAGACAAAAAGCAGAAGAGACTTGCTTGGGCTAAAGAACACAGCGAATTAACATTAGACCAGTGGAAATCTGTGCTTTGGTCTGATGAGTCCAGATTTAAGATCTTTGGTTCCAATCATCGTGTCTTTGTGCGACGGAGAAAAGGTGAATGGATGAACTCTACATGCCTGGTTCCCACTGTGGAGCATGGAGGAGGAGGTCTGATGGTGTGGGGGTGCTTTGCTTGTGACACTGTTGGGGATTTCAACAGCCATATATATATAGTTGTGTCTGAATGTAAAGAACCATCATATTAGTTTTGGTCTGAAAATTGGGAGAAAATTCTGTTCCCCACTCTTTTAAATATAGGGGAGCAGAAGCTCAACTTGCTAAGGTGTTTTGATGCTCTTATTTCAAAAAGCAGTAAGCTGATTAAAGAAACTTGAATCTAATTAATAAGTGTCAGGATCATATTTGACCCCAATAATTGTACTTTGGTGGATATTAGTGGGACCTGGGGTTTTCTTCTAGCAGTATAAATGCAGGGAGAAAATAATATTGGGAATTTCTTCCCTTTTAGTATTTGCATGTTAATCTGCAAGCCTTCATAAAGGCTACAGGCAACAGAAGCCGGAGGAGTGGAGTTACACTAGCAGAGCTATATCTGTCATCGCCTATCAGGATACAGGCTATATGAGTAACACTGGCAGTTAATACCTCAGACTACTTCCTCAGAGGTATCTTGGACACATCGCATTTGTCCTTCCTTAGAACCCCAAGATGTACCTTTGACATGCTTTATTTGGATCCCATAGCTGTGTAATGGATATAATAAGAAACATGCATACATGTAGTCAGGGTGTGGAGGTTGTACTATTGCTGCCACGTGACAGCAGTAATACAAACTAATCTAATAAGGGTTAAGTTAACACAATGTAAACCCTGCTTTATACCTTTGGCCAAAACATTGGTACTTTGTGATTTAATCAAAAGTTCACTTAAAGTTTATTGGACATTAAATTAAGCTTCCCTTATTCATTTGCATTCTGTCTACCCTGTTAACATTGTTAGGATGGCGTTATGCCAGGACACAGCAGGCAAGAACCATGGTACTTTTTCAACAAATTGTCAGCAACAAAAGATAATTATGCATAGCACATGAGCACAATTATATCACAACAGTGGAGGAAAACAACCTGTAATTTTACCAAGAAACATCATCTTCTCAAAATTCTAAATTCATGGGTAAAGTAGTGCATATCCATGTGTGTCTTTGTGTGATTTTAATTAATCCTTCTCTGTCAATTGGAGAAAATAAATCATTTGAAAGAAAGAGTGACCTTTCTAAAAATGTCAGTCTAATTAAGAATACAAAGATTTTAACCTTCAAACATTTATTAAGAAAGACAAAACAAATCCTTCTTAAAACTACAGTACTTTATAACCATCACTCCTGCCAAAACAAATATATAGGTTGTTTACATTCCAGCTGTTATATGTAAATAATCTGATGTTGATTTTTTTATGCACAAATATACATTCACATTTTGTGATTATTATTGTTTTTTTTAATACTTTACTTGATTGCAGGTTTCTTTTAACACGAGAATGCTTTTTAGAATTAATGCATGGTGTTATTTTCAAGTTTCATTACAAAACTTGCCCTTATTGTATAGTATCTTAGTATCTGTAGTATTCTTTGTTTTTGATAGATTTACCCTTGTGTGAATCAGGCTTCAATGCAGCTAATAAAGTGGAACTTTCCCTAATAAAGGAAATAGAGGACACTTCATTTTTTATTTTCTATTTAGACGCCATAAACTTTTCATATTTTTACCTGTGTTGAGCTAATCTTCTTTAGTGTCCCTTTCTTTTCTCTTCTGTTTCCTTCTATGTCCTTTTCATCAGCAGATGACAGCCAACTGCCACTTGCAAACCCATTTTAGATAATCCCACACTCAATAATCATCATCAACTCCCCACTGCGGTTTGGTGGCAGAGGAGGACATAAAAATTCAGAGGCTAATCCTCTCTGACAGCCTCATCAGCACATCATACCAGCAAACCATTTGCTCAGGCTTTTCCTTCAGCAGAGGGACCAACAAACTGGGGGGAAATTCAGTGCCTGCAATGGACAGAAAGAGTTCACAGTTGCATGTTCAGATCACCTCCCTCTAAATCCAAGCCAAATACTGATTATATTTAGGTCAAATCAGATTTGTTTTTTTGTTTTTTTTTTAATGCATTACATTTTTAAGGTACCAGGTACTTTGATTCACTTTCTTGAATTACCTGTGGATTTGATAAATTTTAAGGACATGTTTTGATTCTTAAATTGGATTATTGTCTCTATTCATTTGTTCTATATTAGATTTAAAATGAGTGCCTCAGACAAAGATAACATTTTAATTTTTTTAATCGTCTGGTGATAATACATTAAACTGCTAATTAATTATGATATGAGGAATTAAAGCTTTAAAAAAAAAAACCCAAGGAACATCTTAGTTTTAGCAGCTGCCCGCCTTTTTTGTTGTGTCCTGTAGGTTTTTATATATTTTTTCAGCTTTACCAACTGTAACATGACACTGTTTATATTCCACTACTATATTGCTCTGTATGCAATCTTGGTGAGTCATTTGTCTGATAACATTTTCCTATGTTTTATTATTTCCTACTCATAATTTTGAATGTTTAATATTTTTTTAACTTTTGTGTTGTTTTATTTTTATCCATTCTGGTTTGTCTGTGGTTTATTTATTTTATTGTTCTCATAGAAATATGCTTTAATCATCACTATATCTGAAAAACCTAAACTTTTGCATTTCCACTGTTCCTTATTTTCTACAATTGACTAACAATTATTTTCTTTTGTTATTGATATAATTTCTCTATTTAGTTATTTTTGTCAGTGTATTGTTTGTCGCCGGTGCTTCTGTGTTTGTCCTAAAGCACTTTGTGTTTCACAGACTGTTAAAAAGTTCTCTGTAAATACATTTCTGATATATTTCTTTGAAACTGACTGATCTACTAATGTAAAGAGTATGCATTTACAGCTAAACCTGCATACAGCCGAAGCCTTTAAAATGTGACTATAGAGTGATGGAGGACACCCCCTTAGTTTTCCCACAACCATTGCAGGTGTTAAGTGTAATCAAAAAAATATTTACGGTCTGTAAGAGAAAAGATTATCAGCCTTTTCTGTCAATTGAACCACAGCATCATATGTTCAATTTTTGCTGTTTTTGAAGCCAAAACTTTTTAAAAACTTGATATACATTAATACCAGTATCTGATGATGTCAAAATGATTGTCAAAAAAAGAAAAACGGAGCAAACATATCATATTTATTTAAGGTGATCTTGCCATGTTTATTTTATTTTTTGTCCAGAGTCAAGCAGAGGCCCATTATAAAGGGAATCGCCATGCTCGAAGGGTGAAGGGCATCGAGACATCTAAGACATCACGTGTACAAGACGGAGATAAACAGCAGCCTCTGCCTCCAACCTCACCCCTCCCACCAGGCATCCCACCATCCAGCCTGATGCCTGATTCTAACCCCAACAAACAGGGTGAGCATTGTCAGATGAGAGTTTTCACGTACGAACAACCTGGTCCAAAATCTCCAAAGCTCTTGTTCATAATGACAAAAAGTAATAAAACAAAAATAAGAGATTTTGTGTCAGTTGGATTTAAGAAAAAAGCTTGAATTCTTACTTGGTTTATAGTTAGAAGATGCTTTTTTTCTGTTTCATTTTACATACACACCTGTCATAGAGAGATTTGGGTAGACAATGACTCCAGGAAACAAGTATCATCATGTAAACATATTCTGTCACAATGGGTTGATCAGGCTGTCTGTTTGCACATCCAGATGGAGTCTTACTGCAGCCTGTTTGACCTCAGGGAAAAAGCACAACTGCTGAAAGCGTTGCCTGATTTTTTTATACCATAATTAAACCAATGATGATTTTCAAGTATTCATTTACTGACCAGAAATAATTCTGATGCCTACAGATGATTCTCAGTCTTGTCCCAGCCTGAAGGAGTCTCCCTTAAACCCCAACGACCTCCCATCAACTCCAATCAACTCAGCAGATGTAGAGTCATCTGTCGGCACACCTTTTCCATCCTCTCCCTCCTCTTCAGCAGCCCTCAGTAGCTCTTCGGGAGACCCAGCAGCAGCTGCTCTACCTGACACCCCCTCCCCTGCACCGAGCCAATCTTCAGGAGAGTCAGAGGAGGAGAAAGCCAAGAAGCTTCTCTACTGCTCTCTCTGCAAAGTAGCAGTTAATTCCCTCTCACAGCTGGAGGCACATAACAAAGGTTGGACCAATCTGCAGAAGCTTCACTACACCACATAAACATCTTAAACTCTTTAAATTATACCTTCACAGTCCCAATTTACTTAGTTAATTGGAATATAGGTTCTAAAGAGGCCTGCTAGTTAGGTTAAATGTGCCTTTTAATAATAACGGATTGATGTGGGTACCAACTATGCTTTTCATTGAGCCCCTATTCTTGTATGAAAAATGATTTTATAGGTCTGATTTTAATCTGGATTGTTTTGTAAGCAAATAAGACATGAAAAAAGCCAACCCATTTAATGCATTTCACCTGGTGAAATTAGTTACTGAAATAACTAAACTTTTCAATGATACGCAAATGTATTAAATATGACTTATTATCATTTCTAATCTCACAGACTTTAGTGCATAAAAAAATCTCACATCTCTAAAGCCTGAAAAGTGACATCTCAACCCTTTGAGGTTCTGCTCATTTCACATGTAGCCCATGAGGTTTTCCCGGCTATAATGAAAACGCAAATTAACATTCTAACACTTGAAGGACTTTTAGTCTCATGAGCCTAAAAAATGATTGTTGGAGACAAACCTTGTAATGTCCCATAAAAAGGGGGAAACAAGGACAGATGGTATGCAATGCAAAACACATTGTTTCCATTCTTGTGACATAGTGTAAGTTCTAGGTTTTGTTTGTTAAAAAATAAATCTCAGAAGCATTTTATTGGGTTAAGTGAAGAAATTTTGGTCAGGCACAATAGTGACAAATGTTTTACGTTTCTACTTAAAATTATTTACATTCCTGATAACGGTGTCTCAAAATAAATTGATGTTTTGTATGTATTCTTTGAGGACTAATCCCAGGGATCTGTTTCATGAAGCAGGTTTAACAAAGTCAGATTTAAACCCTTAACTCTAAATTGATCTAGCCTAAATTCAGGAACTCTGAATTTTTGGTTGTACAACAGCTGCTATGAATTAGTTCAATCAACTCCAAGAAGAACCACTCAGAGTTTAGCACACGCGTAGCAAATATGAAAAGCCATTATCAGTGGAGAACCGATTCACGAGTCAGCATGACAACAGGTAACAGGAAGTGCCTATTTCACCCCATCATTGTTAACATAATGCAAATCCTAACCGGTAATATCAGGAATATGGAGATCTGAAATGAATTTATAGACATCCAGAATGTTAATTCTAAATGTAAAGAATGTCATTTTGTTTGAAATGGTCATTTAGACAAAGAAAAATGTTTTTTCAGATACCAGGAATACGTATTCATCAAAACTAGTACATATCAAGCTGGCTTGCCATAGTCTGTTGTTGCTGCACATTACAGGATTGTTTCTTGAATGGTAGTAAATCAATGTATCTATTTAGGTGAAATCTTTTGGCAGCAGGTGAATATAAACTATAATGAATATTATGTTAAGCAAGCCAAAAACGAGTAATCTCATACCCTGCACTGAGTTGTAGAATCATCTCCTAATAAATATTAAATTCCCTGTGAAAAAATGCAGATCATTCTTTGACAAGATTCTCGTCAAACGGACATGCAGTGTTTGTTTTTAAAACCTAATGTATATATGTATATATATATCTATATATAGATGTACATATACATAAATATATATATATATATATATATATATATATATATATATTATGCACAAAACTATGACAAAAATCGTACTAAATCAGGGAACAAAACAGGATTATTGGCTGTAAGGAGAACGGAGACAGAGGACACTGAGTTTACTGAAGAAAACCTTCTCCCAACCAGGTTGGGGAAACTCTCTTTGTTAAACGAAAGTATCCCCGTTTCCCTGTTTTCAGGTTTGAAAAACTTAGGTTTTGGTAAACCTGCTCCCCAAGGTGTTAGGGTTCTGCCCTTTGTTGTGTAACTTTTTAGTTTCATTAAAATTTTATGTCTTTTTAGTTTTAGTTTTCTGGCAGTGTTGTGTTTTTAGGGACAAAAAGAAAGACATTATCAATTAATCAAATGTTGCTGAACATGTTGATCAATTCTAGGTAGAAATTGTAGAATTTAACTCCATTGTTTGAGGTGCAAATTAATGTGCACCTGCAATATTGATTTGATATTCCCCTCACTCACTAAATGAACATAACAGATCTTTCAGTAAGCTGCAATTAAAGGTATATTTATTTGAGGACTTTTGAGTGAGCTGCTGTAAGGAATTCTAACTTCTCTGACATTATTATGCAAAACCAGGTGATTCTTGCCCCCAAAAAGAATAAAAAATAAGATAAAATTATGCTGGTCCTCTGCTGTTCTCAGGAACCAAACATAAAACAATCCTGGAAGCTCGAAGTGGACTGGGACCCATTAAAGCGTATCCACGTTTGGGTCCTAAACCCAGCCCTGAGCAGGGAGGCGAGCTCTCCTCTGATCCAAACACTCAGGAACGCACCTTCCACTGTGAGATATGCAATGTCAGAGTCAACTCTGAGCTGCAGCTTAAACAGGTAAAAATATGCAGTGAAGCCCAATGCAGAAATTGCTTGCCATAACCTTATACTTGTTGCTCTTCCTTTTATGCTACAGCATATATCGAGCAGAAGGCATCGAGATGGGGTTGCAGGTAAACCTAATCCTCTTCTCAGTCGGCACAAGAAGCGCACAGACTTTATGGTAGGTGTTTGCCCCCCCCCCCCCCACAAAAAAAAAAAAAAGAAGGATAATTTTAAGATTGTGAACAGCCTGAAC